CACAGAAAAGAACTGATCAAGGCACTTCTGTTTTCTTTGTTTGTACTACGGATTCTGCTCTTCAGAGCTTCCATCTCTGGTAGTTCCCCTCTCACCTTCACTTGTGCGTGAGACCCAGTCGTGAGACAGTTCTACTCTCCTAACCTGTCAAACGGCGGCATCTAAACTCCACCAGAATTGGGAAACGGTTTTCCTTGTGTTTTTTTCTTCACGGTTCTAATCTATCCACACTGACACAGAACTGATAAGAAGTAAATAAATGAATGCTTCCTCGATTTTCCAGCAATCTTCTTATGTTCTGATTGTCATGGTTGCAGACCTCATTTAGTTTTGAGGTGCCCAGATGGAGAGCCCGGGGGCAGATGCATGCACATTCTATAATACTATAGAATAAAAGCTTTGAGTCTTTCAGATTTACGCAAATGCTTTCTATTCCGTGCACAACGTCAGCCACGGATTCAGAAAAATGTTTGCCCCCACTGATTTCGTGCCTTAATTGGCATCATCTTAATCCAACTCAATTGAGCTGAGTATAATAAAAAAGGACTTTTCACATCAGATGTTGTGCTGGTTTTATACGCTATAACTTTCTACTATAGTGTGACCTGGTATGCTCAGCTTTAGGTTACTTCCTTTCCACATAAGGTGATGAAATTTGTCCCCATTCGACTGAATTCTAAGGGATCTTATTATTTTTCAGTCTGTCTAGTCATAACACATCAACATAACAGGATAATTGACGGATTTTCAAACTGCTGTCATAGGTTGGCAGAGATGTATTTGATGCACAACTGTGATCCATAGATCCGACAATGGCGGCGTCGCACACACGCATACGCTTTGATCCCAATCAGTTTTGTTTCCCTGTTCCAAAACGAACAGTGATTGATGCCAAATTTCTGTGAAGTTGATCTAACGGTGAAAGCCTGACCGCATGCAATTCACTTTTTCCGAAAGAACTGTTACACACGGGTTTTGGAATTGATTAGATTGACGGACTGGTAACTCGGGGTGATATGCATATGTATGTAATGACAATGCTACGCAACTGATCAAAAATGATGTGGGCTCAGTGGTCAACTCATTGTTTTCCACTTCTTTCGTGTAGATCATTGAATGTTTTTTTCTTCGTGCTCAATGTGTGCGCGTGTAGACATACCCGTGAACAGGACATTAAGAGCGTGTGGGGGAGGAGGTAGTTGGCCGATCGTATGTGAAGAAAGTACAGGTTTGATGGTGAATAGCTACATGTTCTGTTTTGTTGTGGTAATTTTTTCGCGTCCACCCCATCAATCATCACCACCCCCACACCCGGCGGTATCGTCACGTATCAATATGTTGTCAGCCCCCTGGAAATAGTTTACAACCCGCCGGAATTGGGAACTTTTTGACAATTCGACGTCACCCCAGATGTGGATGCATGTGTTTCCATGTGTTTACGTTCACATGTTTGTACCATGGCAACCAAATTGCCCGTTCCATATAAGGATCAGACCACCGGAATACTCGTCACGGCAACGATCGAGAAACATCTGATCGAAAACGGTAAGTCATGAACAATGACTCTAACAACGGTTATCAACATCAGTCATCAGTGTAGACCAATTCTGTATTGTATGTATATGTAGTTACAGAGACAAACCATTCACTTGAAGTAAATAAATGGTCACCACTTATTACAAAATATATTTGCTGGTTATTAAGGTCAATGAAAGCTTTTCTCAGATCAGGCGGTTTGTAGTGAACGACAAAGGACATAAAGCACTGTATTCAGGAGTCAGTTCACAGTCAGTCCACCACTTAGTACAACATAGCACTGAGTTTAATTTCTCATAGCGTTGATACTGGAAGTCTCAAAATGCAACAGAGATAGAAAATGTCGATNGACATGGGGAGTCCTAGTATCCGCGTCTCGGACAATGTAAGAGACAAGTGCGTCCGACATAACCGGGAAGGTTGACGATGTTCAGAATGAACTATTTTCAGGATCCCTCATTTGTAAGGTCCTGATCATATTCCCTGCCTTAGTAACAATGATCAGGGATCCAAACCCTATTTAAACTCTTCGAAGGTAGTAGCATTCAAATGCGGGTTTGCACCGATGACTAGCCGAGAAGTGTCGGAATTTGTGCTATTCCATAGAATCCTTCACTGGCTACTCTCGGTACAACTCATCACGGTGCCCTCACTCTCACACATACATACACTTCCTTCTGATAGACCCTTTTATTCATGTGAATCTGCGTATCATGTGCATAAAGAAACTGGATCCGCGGGAGATAAGTTTGTTCAAGTTTCCCAAGGCAATTAAAATGAAATATACATAATTTCTTGTGAGACGATGAGATAAAACAAATTAGGAGCCATTCACAGCTCCGGTGATTCATAACTAGTGTGCAAATGTGTGTGAATTGTGATAAGTGGATCATTGAGTTTAGTAGAATTTGGCATTACTGAAATAGTTTTTGATCACAATTGATAAGTTTAGGAATAAGAAGAAAGCCTGTATGCTGCTCATCGTCGCCACTGTTGTTCACTTTTCCAGTCCCCTCAGAGAAGGAACCATGGCGTCAAACTATCGAGATGACCCCGGATATCAGGCAACAACGGCTACATTGCCAAGAGTCGATTGGTATCATGCCAAATTCATGTTCCGAATATTCGCGGCGGAGGCTCTGGGAGTGGGAATCATTATTTTCATTCTCGCAGTACATTCCGCCGGTGGTGAGCTGAAAAGCGACCTCAACGGACCAATCACCGCTGCTGCTGCTTTTGCTGTAGCCGTCTGGACTGTGGGTCCGGTTAGTGGACCACAAATCACACCGATTCTGTCATTGGCTCTACTACTAACACGACGAATCAACTTTGTCTATTTCATTCTGGGGATTATGGGTCAGACGTTCGGCGCTTTTATGGCTCTGTTGCTTGGATCACGGCTTGTTCCCGGTCTATCAGAAAAGAACAATTTGTTGCTACAGATACCGGGACCAAATGTCACTGATTTGCAGGCGTTTGGACTGGAATGCGTTTGTAGTTTCATCCTCATAGTTTGCGTGCTAAGTACCCTTGACGAATTCCGAAAATCACACTGGTCTCAGGGTCACGTGACGTCGTTTTCGATCATCGTTTTCATTCTGATCCTGCCTTTGGCTGCTGTACTGGTATGTTTACTTTACGTTTTCTATCCCCTATGGCCCGGACGTCAATGTGCGTATTAATACCGGTTACTTTGCTCAAAGCTCATAATCAGTTAATCCTATTGACTGTGAAAATTACAAACTACGCTTACATGAAATCAAATGGGATGTAAAATTATGTGACCTATAGTCGTAAATTATGACGGTGAAATTAGATTTTCCTTTTGCGGATACTTGGGCAAATGAGCGCATTCATCCGAGGGTACCACTTCAATGTGCTTCATTCTGGAAAATGCCTTTTTATGTTCTCTAGAAAATTTTGATGATCGACAGTCTGAAGCCGCGCCCCAAATTTTACTGTTTTTATTTCAAATATATGTATGCTGTTTTCTTCGGTTCTCAATCTGAAATTTACCCATTTCTAGGCTATGGCCATCCTCTTGCCGACGTTGCTATTTTTATTGCTGGCGTTTTATTTTCGCTTCTACATTTCCTTCGATGGTATAAGGTTTGAGTGAATTAAGAAAATTCTGTTCCGTACACGGTTGTCACCAACGAGACTAAACGATTAGCTGTTAATTTTCAATCTCATCGTTCCACCTGTGACCATGGCCTTCTTTTTCACAGACCAAAAACTTGCTCTCTTTTGCAGTATTTTGCTATTCTTCTCAGATAAAACAGATTAGGGTAGCTCAATAGAATATATTATTCAGTATTCATGTTTTAGTCTTCACACTTTGAATGAAACCTGCAAAAGAATTTCATTTCCCTCATTCTTATCTTATGTTAACGGTCACGGTGAACGGTATTTCTCACCTCTACTGTCTGCATGATACTCTGTTTTCTCTGAAAAACGGTAGGAGATCTACCTTCTGTTGAGAACAGAGAAACACATCCCTTAGTAAAAAATGACTCTTTTACAGTACACCGAATTTACCACAGTTGTAGTGAAAATCAAATCTTCTCACGCTTTGCTTCTCAGATCAAACTGAGGCAAGAATCAAATACTGGTTTACTCAGCGATTCATCTTAGCCAGGGTAAAGAAAATGTTCTAGGTTTAACAATATTGACATCGTAGGGTTGAACTCCTCTACCAACCCGATTCCTTCTTTCATCCCGTAGTCTACGTAGGACTAACTCTCTCTCTTTTCCCCACAGTAAGATTCTTCAATGGCTCTCTGACCTCAAAACTAGGATCTGCCTGCACTGCTCAGGTGTGATGCTGGTCTACTGAACTAGCTTTCGTCACTGTATTTTTCGATGTGTTGCATTCATAATCCGAGGATATTTAGCACTTTGTCAACGTGCATAACAGTTCACCTCTGGTATCTTATCTGAACAGTTTACTCCTGTTGTTCACACTTCGTGTGGGTTTAAACTTGCGGATTAATTCACAGTTTAGCGTTTATGTTCCCCGTGTTCCTCTCTAGTTCGCGAACCGAACCATCAGGCCCAGGTTAGACATAATTACTCCTGTCGTCCACTTTATCACTAAGCTTCTGAATCACCCTGTGAACTTCGTTCGTTGTAAATTTCTTCATTCGACTCCCGAACTTGACTCGATTCCTCTATAATCTCTTTCCCACAAATTGGTATGTTGATGATCAACTGTCCCTTTCTTCATGGGTAAAAGTTCTTTTACTGGGAGAATTCAACTCATTGAGTTTCATTAGAATTTTTATATATAACTAGGCATTAACATCAATCTGTCCGGCATTTTCCTCTTATCCGCGATTGTAAAGACGAATTGGCTACTGAAGTGCGTATGAAGGATCCAGAGTGAATAATGGTGATGCACTGTTTAATGTGATTTTTTCTAGTTATGTCGTGTCTTCCTCTACAACAGATTCATAAGTTTCTTTTTGAGTGAAATCTAGGCCTATGTGCCTCTTAAATCAGACAAGAAACTGCAACAAAATTCGTTACAGTGAGAGCAGTTTTATTTATACTACTTAGCAGCAGAAATAAATTATTTCCAAAACGAATATACTGTAATGTAACTATCTGGTGAAACGCACCGCTCAATACAGATTTTTTTCAAACGAGTTGCCGTGAGATACTGTTAGGTGATAAGCATACTTACCTTCAGCACAATAATAGTTTATCAGACGTAAACTTACCTGGTTTTACTTTGATTGATTATGCTTGTTTCAATTTTTCATCAGAGTTAACAGTTGTGGTAAGTGATAACCATGACAAATTTCTAGATACATGCAACTGCACTACAATTTACGTCAAAATCACAATTGGTAAATGTTGTGCCAATCTCAGAAACTTGGTTGCATCGAGCTGATAAAATATTACCCAGGTTCTCATATCAACGGTCGCTTAGACCAGAAACTAGTTCGATTAAAATAGTGGTTTCATGGAAGTCATTGAAATAAAATGAATAATAGTAATAATAAATAATAATAATTGTCGAAAGCTTTCGTTTACTGCCGTAATCCATCACAAAAATTAAACAAATCAGATACTGAATTGGATATGTTTGAAAACTGCCCATATGCAACGGTAAAACTTAGGCGGGAGAGGTTGTCGATGTTTTTCGAAACTTCTCCAGAGATTTCGAAAGTTTAACACGATACCTTGTATGTTCTAGTTGAGAATAGATGATTGAATCCTGTGATTCAAAGTTCATTTCACCACTTTTTTGCTTTGTTTATAAGCAGGATAAAGACTTAAATAAACCATCGAACGGATTGAACATGGTTCCATTCTTGTAGTGCTCTAAAAGATTCAGTTGAATTACCCATCTTGGATACAACACACATTCAACTGATCCAGTACATTGATTATTTTGTTTAATTATTCGTTTTACGCTTAACTGTCACTTGAATTTAGGCAAAAACAACCGGCGTCGGAATGCATCCAGCAACAAGTTTGGCAACCGCGATATATAACCGTTCATTCACCAAGTTGTGGGTAAGTAGTTTAATTTAGGTAATATGCATAAAATCTGGTCATAAGATAGTTGGAACAAAGCATTTGTGTGCTCGAGCAAACAAAAAACAATTTTCGTACTGGTCAGAGAGCTACCTCTTGGTTTAAACTAATATCACGTTCATTGTGAGAGGCCTCATATACCTTGCAGAAATTACCTTTCTAATTTGCAGGGTAACCACCCGCCCATTATCCAGCCGATTCACATATACAGTGTACTGCCGAATTTGGAAAAAAGAAACTTCTTAATGAGGAAAGTTTTTTGGTTTCATTAGAAGTGATCGATAGATCTTCAAAACTACTCACAATCGCTGAACTGCACATATACTTGAGGAACATAGATATTTTGAGCAGATGATTTTCGAACGAACTCCAAAAATAGATCACCAGACACCTAATTGAATGATTTTACAAGCGGAATTCGCCCATCACAGTGTGTTCATGCACTACCCTTCTCTTACTCTCCATTTAACCGCTTGCAGATATATGTTACAGCACCCATATGTGGATCGGTGATCGCTGTTCTGCTGTGGGAGATGGTGATCAGTGATGGTGCATCTGTTGAACGTATAAAGCACTGGTGGACCGACCCGAATTTCGATCGTCACAAGGACTACAACCGATTGAGTTGCAATGCGCGCGGGCAG